TATATATAGATACAGTTATATATAATAATCATGTCATAACCAAGCTTTCAAATGTCAACACAGGTAAAACCAGAGTAAGGAAAGACCTGAAACATTGGGTTTTGTTGGGGTTTTTCCCCCTTAAAATTTGGCTATAGCTGTAAATATTCCCTTTTAGCTGCAGAATATTTTCCAGAGAGATAAGCACTGAGCAGATTCAGGCCCCAAACTCCTGCCTACATCACAGCTGCTCCTGCCAGGATCTTTTTCTGTGTTAAACATGCCAAAAGTAGAGTGGAGAAGTGCTGCTGAGCTGTGTGCTGGATGCTAGGGAGACACAGGCAGGAGACAAATGTTGTCTGGCACCACGATGAGAAAGTGTCTCAGAGCCAAGCTGGATGCTTTGCAATGTCCCTTGAGTTAATATTTAACTGAATGTCTTCAAAAGGAACCAAATCCTGCTGTGTTTTCCCACTGGTCCATCACACAGCTCCATGAAATCTATTAATAACTGGATTTATCACTAGCTGGAAAGAGGTGGAATCTGCAAAACCACCTGGTTTGGTTTTTAACTCTTGGAAAGTCCCATGAATGCAAAATTCCACCAGAACTGAGGATGCCTCAGCATTCTCTTCTGCTGTGGAGTTTGGATTCTTTGAATTAGTATCTAAACAGTGCAGCTGCAAAGAAACCTTCCCAGGATCCTCCTACTGCTGGAAGCCTCAATGGATAGACCCACATGTGTAACAAGAAGTGCAAAAGTAGTTCAACATGAAAATTAAGTGAAAAAAGGAATTCTCTGGAGTTTTTTTCTCTCATAGTTTTATTTATGTAATTAAACACATATATGAACAAATATAATTAATATAATTAAATAATCCTATTAAACACAGAGCTTGGATTTTAGCACACAATTGCACTTGAGAAGGAAGATGGATTCATAAAGCTTTAGCCTATCCCTTGAGGCAGTTTTCCGTCCACATTCCTTCCTGTGAGTGAATAGAAAGAGCACTTCTAGCTACCTGCATGTCAGTGGGTTCTCCTTAGACTCTACCAAACCAGTGGAGTTAAGTTTTGAAATGATTCATGAATTGATGCTTCTTGGAAATGATCCCATGGAAGGAAGATATTGATTGAACTCAGTAACCTGAAGAACAAGATTAAATAGATGTTGCCAAAAAATGATAGAAAAACTTCTCTGGAAAGCCCGGTGTCAGGTTAGAATCATTGAATCATCAAGGTTGAAAGAGATCATCAAAATCATCCAGTCCAGCCATTAACCTGCCACTGCTGGACCTCCCAAACCCTAGACCAGATCCTCCAGTGCCACATCCAGACACCTCTTGAACACCTCCGGGACTGGTGACTCCACCACCTCCCTGGCCAATATTTCAGTGTCTGAACAGCCTCATAGTGAGCTCAGTCTGTCAACCTGAACACCCTGACAGGGAAAACATTTCTCCTCATATCTCCTCTGACTCTCAGCTGTCTCAGCTGACTCAGCTCAAGGCCATTCCCTCTAGTCCTCTCCCTGCAGCCATGGCAGGACAGACCATCCCCCACCTCTCTCCAACCCCCTGTCAGGGAATTGGAGAGAGCCATGAGGTCACCCCTGAGCCTCTTCTTCAGGCTAACCAACCCTGACTCCCTAAGCCCTTCCTCATATTACATGTTTTCCAGGTTATTCCCTTAGAAATGGCAGATTTCATGTATAGCACCTGGGGTAGTGGTGACCTTTCCTTCTGAGGTCCAAGATCCACTTCACCACTCAGATGCTGAAATATTTCCCATTTAATTGATCTCCTTCAATTTTAACAGTGGCTCTGAAAGATATTCTTAGTCTTGTGGTGCTTCCTGGGATGAATCATAGAACCACAGAACTGTTTACGTTGGAAAACACCTCTAAGATCATCCAGTCCAACCATTAACCCATCACTGCCACATAGTCTGTGGCTGTGGGAACACTTGGTGCCTGCACTTGGATCATTGATTTATTGGTAATCTTCTTGTTTGCCCATGACAGGCTCTACAGGACATTCAAGGACAGCAAGTACCTGTACATGCTGATGGAAGCTTGTCTAGGTGGAGAGCTCTGGACAATTCTCAGGGACAGGTGAGTTGTAAGAAACTGCTGTTCTACAAAGTGGAATGTTTTCTAGTATCACTTTCCCTCACGGGGAACAATTTCTTCCCAATTTCCAATCTAACCCTGGTTGAAAGCCATTACCCCTTGTCCTGTCTGTCCAGGCTGTTTTCCAAAGTCCAGCTGTCTTGCAGCCCTTTTAGGGACTGGAAGGGTCTCTAAGGTCACACTGGAGCTTCTCTTCTCCAGTGAACACCCCCAGCTCTCCCAGCCTGTCTCCAGAGCAGAGGTACTCCAGCCCTTGGAGCATCTCCAAATCCTCTGAACTTGCTCCAGCAGCAACATGTCCCTCTATTGGCACAGTTCTTACATCACAATTTCCCATCCCAGAGCTTTTCTCATGCCTGTGTTTGCTCCACTGCTCACCCTCTGTTACTGCAGATAGCAACATCCACCTGTGGCCCAAAGACACTGTGATAAACAGTATCTGTCCATATTGCTCAGTGGTTATGACTCACTCAGGTCTGATCACCATGTTAGCCCAGATGGGACATATTACATCAGAGCCATTGATCAAAGTGGGATCATGCATCAAATCCACACCCTGCAAGGAGCAGTATTCCATCAGGATGCAGAAAAAAACTCATTAGGAAAGCATGTAATTACATATCATGCCCAAGCAAATGTGGTCCTGGTATTTCCTGCCTTAGGAGGGCTTGACCTTGGAGGGTGGGTGAGCAGGTGGGTGTATGTGGAACATGCCCTCAGGGCAGGAAAAGATGTGGTGAATTGTGTGTAACTATGTAATAGATTCATCATTGGAACAGAATTCAATCAAATCTTCAAAGATTGAGCAGAAAGCAAAGGCTAAATTCTTATTTAATTCCCCCAAACAATGTTTTTGTAGCTCTTCCTTTTCCCAACAACTTTCTCCAGGTCACTAAAACAAGAACTGTAGCAAAAGTTGGCAGGTGCCAGGTTGGATTTTTCATGAGCTTTTCTCAGAACTTGAAAATTCCCTATTTAATTTTCTGGGATTTAAACTGGAGATCTGCTGCCACCTAGCTTAGACACACTCCTGAGCTCAGCCAGCTCCCACTGCCTGATGCCAGCAGGCAGAGAGGGATAAGGTTTTCTTTGGAGAACTGGTTGTAAACTGCAGAAACAAAGATCTAAAAGTGCAGTTTAGGATGAATTTGCACTTAACCATTCAAGTCCTAACAGCTGGGATTCTTCTGCCTTTTGTTTCCATCAGGAACATTAATACAGGACTTCTTCATCTCATGCATCAAAATACCTTTAGGACCCAAAAGCCAATGATTATAATTGGAAAAAAAATCCCTTTTGCTTTTACAATTTGTAAGATTTCTTTCTAAATTAGACAATAAACCCTAAAATGACTGAAGATCTGAAGAGGGTTTGAAGGCAAAGATGGTAACTTCAAAACTGAAAATGCAATTAAATTATATAGCGATAATTGTATATATATATAATTACATATATATAATTGCATTTTATATATAGTGATATATGCTATAATTATACCTATAATTATATTATATATTATGATATATAAAAATTAGTTTAGCAACAGGCACTTTGTAGGTATTAGAGTGATTCTACTGAATTTTATAGCTATGTATCATAAATATATTTCATATATATACATTTGAATAGTAGAGTGAAGTCCATATGGAAGAGATCCACCTCACAGAGATTCATCTAATCCCTTCACTGTCTTTTCCTCCCTTGTTTTCCACAGAGGTTCATTTGAAGATTCCACCACCAGGTTTTACACAGCATGTGTGGTCGAAGCTTTTGCCTATTTGCATTCCAAAGGGATCATTTATAGGGACCTCAAGCCAGAAAACCTCATTCTGGATCATCGAGGTTATGCCAAACTGGTGAGTGCCTGCAACATCTGGTTGGCCAAGAAGAGTCATTGCTAGTCCCAAAGCAAGTGGTGTTAGGGGGAGGGAA